ATATATATATATATATATGCATACTAAAATAAACTACTTACTACCGTACTTTCCGCCGTACAAGTCGCACCGCCGTATAAGTTGCATCAGTCTGAATTAGAGTTGCATTCGGGCCCATAAAAATCTGACCCGACCTGACCCGGCCCCAATTAACAGTAATTACAGGTCTGAACCAGGTCGGGCCCGGCTGGGCTCCAGGTTCAGGTTATTAATGGCAGCTCTAGTCCAAAAATGTCTAATAAAGTCGGAAAAAACATAAATAAGTCGCTTCGCAGCATAAGTCGCATCTATTATGCGTCACCGCTGACCACCCGGAAACGTGGGCCATTGTTGTGCCAAAAATCGATTGACTGCCAAATGGTGGCCACGGGAGCGTGCACGGGAGGACGGACAAATCAGCTGTATTTCAAAAGCCGAGTCGCGGGAGCGCGCTGAAGGAGGACTCGCTGTGCATTTCTTCGAAATTTACCAAGATAACCACCTAAAAACAATTGTTTGTTTGCTCAACGTTATAGTAAATGTGTGTCTCCTTTTAACTTTTTCTTAATAAATGCACTTTAGTGGTCAAATCAGCTGCATTTCATCTGGGCGGCGCGGCGAAATGCAGCTGATTTGACGTTTGTTCCAGGAGTTCCGGAGCGAGCCGAAGGTGGCTTGGTATGGCAAGCCATATTGGTCGAGGGCCCTCTAGTGGCTGAAAATGGTAGTGTTCAATATTTTCCATGTCAGAATGAATAAATTCATCAGATCTCAGCCAAAAATTGGGTCATAACTATGGGCAAAAAAAGTATATTAGTCGCTTCAGTGTATAAGTCGCAGGATTTGCAAACTTATGCAAAAAGGTGCGATTTATACAGCAAAAAATGCTGTACTTTTACGACTATTCCTTCTTCGCAGTTTTTCACTTATCACGGGGCTTCAGGGCACGGATCCCCGCGATAAACGAGGGACTACCATACATCTTGATTTGACTGTGTTTATAACTTCTTTTATTTGATTTTTAATTGCCTTTTGTTGAATTATCGTTGTCTGTCTAAAACAGGTCTCTCTTGAAAATAAGTCCTCGTGACTCAGTGAGACTTAAATGTATAAATAACACAGCTTGAATGAATGTTTAAAGTAAACCATTTGACTAAATGAACATGCACAGGCGACATTTCAGTCAAAAAGCAGCACGAAGCACTTTAACTGTTTAGGCTTTGATGAGGAGAGTGACGTGAGAAGCGGCGATGTGTCAGTGTTGCAGCACTGCAGAGGTAAATAATGTGGAGGCTTGGATCCGCTTCTCTTTTTGCTTCAGAGTCAATGAAGCGTGGTTGCTGCAAGCGGAGAACAAGCTGATCTGTTTGGGCAACACAATCTAGAGAAACCGGATTCAAGTCAGACTGAGACTTTGCTGCTTTCATGTTTTCAAGTTTAAAAATGTTTTTTTATGCCAGGGACAAAAATATAAAAGCCACATTGGGGAAGGTGATTTAAAAAATACTATTACATATAATAAGTATATTATTTAGATTTTTTTTTTTAAGCAAACAGCAACAGTTACCTCAAATACATGATCCATATGAAAAGTAATTAGTGCCCGTTATATTCTCACTGGGTTATTAAATGCAGATTTTGAGTTTATATTTCCATGTGTGGTTTAATGTATTTTGTTGATGATCTACTGCATGTGCAATCAAGAACATTTGTAGTTCAGTCTTTTGTTGCTTTTTCTGTCCTGAAACTGCTAAAACTCAACTACTAATCTGTGAAGCTGGACAATAAGATAAATATCCCACTTCGAGAAACAATATGTTTATTTATGAATGTATTTATTTAGAATAACTAATTAAAGTGTTGCAACTAATTAAAGTGTAAACTTGTAGTCTGTGCTTTTCATGGTTGAATTCTTATCATCTCGAGGGTCAGTTTACAAAAGTTAAACCTATTAAAGTGGTCCCAAAAATATATATTTTTAAAAAGTTCTGCTCCCGACGGAAATCGATGCTCTTTTTGGTCCAAGTGCTCATGTGATTTTTCTTTTTGTAGATTTTTTTTTATGAATTTTAAAGGTCGCCTTTTCCTGTTCAGATTAGCTCACACAATTATAAAATGGTAAAAACCAGGCTTTTAGTTGAGCATGTGAACACTGATGAGAGGACAGCGGTACAGCAAATCAAAATAATTTCGATCGTAACCTTTTAACGCAGATTTGAGATCACAAAGGACATGAAAAACTACAAAAATGGTTACTTTTTTCCACTATCCAACATGTTTCTGTGAAACCAGCCATGTGAAACAATAGGAAGCCATACATTGTTCCACACTGTGCAGGTTCTTTCACAGATATGCTATTTTTTCGCGCTGGTTTGATCTGCCTACAACTGCAGTTTCTAAATGCACGGTCTAATCTGATGTATTAAAAACAAAAAAAAAATTTTGCGATATTTTGATTAAAATTCAGCACCATGTTCACCTGCTCATAACAAAACATGAATAAATACTTAAGTAAAGTTGAACATTTTGGTTTTCTTTTCAAAGTGCGCATGTATTAGGCATATTTATTTTATCTTTCCTAATAAGTCCACATACGATGCAAATTAAAAATCATGCATTGTGGGCTGATTGCATTTAGGCAGAAACTCAGTGATTCGTTTAAATATCCAGACTGAAAAAAATTTTTATTTCCTCAATGAGAATAACCTGAATGTGCTGCAGGTTTTCAATATGACCGCTAGATGGCGATGTCAGATTAGGACTAATGTGGTAAATTACGTGTTCTAATTAAATCACATCTATAAACATTTCACATTGTTCCTTTTTCACTTGGTGTTTCATTGTTAATTAACAGCACAATTTGTATTTTAAAAGCGTTTTTCTTTACCTTTTTTTTTTGTTTTGTTTTGTTCCCATATTACCGGAAGTAAACAGGAAGTAGTTGTGACGTATATCCAGCAACACTTTTTGAACTCGCCGATACGCGGTTACGTGGTTACTGCGGTAAAGGGCTCACTTTACCGCAGTACGTGTTCATAGCGTTTTTTTTTTTTTTTTCTCTCTTTTTTTCGGCGCCACATTTAAAAAAAGACTCCGGTGCCACATGGAGTGTTTCCTTTACTCCTTTTTTACTTTCGGGGGGTTTCTAAAAGGTAAGAAGGAATACAGAGACAAGAGTTTCATCCAGTTGTAGATCATTTTTTATACATAAATATTTCACAGTCAGAATATGATTTGCTTTATTGCTGTTCTGTAATTATAGACCTGTTTTTTATGCTGGACAGTTTGGTTTCATTTTAAAATGATAAATGTGTAATTTAAAATGGAGTCAGAACAAAGGTGGCTCACAGCCAACGTTGCTGGAGTTGGTTAATAAATGTCTCAGAGTGTGTGTTTTTAAAAAAGGAGGAAGTACTGTACTTAAATGTCGTTAGGAGGATGTTCACCTGAAACAATAGTGTCAGAGCCCTGTATAGAGAGAGTTGCGACACTCCCATAGACTCCCATAGAAAGAATGGAATGCGGAAGTCACGTGGGTCATGCAGCCGGCAAAGAGTTCCAAACAGCAGCGGGTTCAGCATTAAACGTAGTTAATTTTCCGTGTTTTTCCGGTAAGTTAATGCAAATGCGACACTTTTTCTCCATTGTGAAGCGTTATCTGACTGTTCTGTACCTCAATTTATCAACATTAATACTTCATGTCGCCAGTTTTAGTTAATGAAACATGTTAAATTACTAGTTGTGTTTTAACTGCAGCTGCTCTGCAACATGACGGTTTACGGTTTTACGGTCCATGCGCAACGTATCACCTTCCATTTGTGTTGTGTGTTTCCTTGACTGATGAAGCCTTCTGGATGGAAGGTGAAACGTTTCAGCACAAAAAAAAAAAGAAACTGTCCAGATAACCTGACTGAAAATTGTTGGATTGTATACCTGGATTATTGAGCATGGACTTTGTTGGTTTTGAACCAGTTTGACATGACTGTCGGCGAGGGAGAGGGCCGGCACTGGAGGAGGGGGCGTGCCAAAGAGACCATCTTAGCACCAACATAACTGGTTTGTTCCACTTTAGAGTAAGCTGTTTGGGGGGGAAGAATCAGTTTTGTGTTGTGCGTTTCCTTGAGTGATGAAGCCTTCTGGATGGAAGGTGAAACGTTTCAGCACAAAAAAAAAAAAAAGTGTCCAGATGACCTGACTGAAAAATGTTGGGCAGTACATTAAAAGTTCTCAAACACGTTTAGATGAGATTTAATCTGACATGATGTTTCCTGCAGGTGTGACAGCAGTGATACAAACACATCCAAATGTTGCAGCTGCAGCCGGAGAAGACGCTCGTCTCTTCTGTCAGCTCCTGGAGACTACAATGGTCTATCAGGTTACCTGGCAGAAAATATTTGAGGGCAAAGAGATAAATATTGGCTCCTATGAGAAATTCAATGGTGAAACAGTGAATCTTGAGTTTGAAGGTAAAGTTCAGTTTAAAGAAGCTGGACTGCAGAACAACTCAATAGTTATCAGGAACGTAACTGAGCAGGATGGAGGGTGTTATCTCTGTGTTTTTACCACCTACCCTCATGGCGGTCTATCAAACAAAACCTGCGTCCATGTCTATGGTAAGAAGCTGTCAGCATCCCAGTTTGAACCAGTTCATCTTGGAGTCTCTGATGGTTCTTGTTGTGTGTGCAGAGCTGCATGAACCCGTCCTTCAGGTCAGAAGATCAAAGTCTCCTGAAGAGTCACTTGTGTCGTGTTCAGCCACAGGTCGACCTGCTCCCACTGTAACTCTGACTGCTCCACAACAACACCTGCACTTGTCACAACACAACACCGTCACAGTCACCAACACCAACAATACAGTCACTGTCACCACCACAGCTGTGCTGTCAGGTCTCCATGACGACAGCTTTCAGGATACATACATACAGGTTGCATGTGCAGCCAAAGTGGACTTTGGTCCTCAAGTGGAGGTGGTGAAGAGGATTACTGAGCTCAGACCGACGTCTGATGATGGTGAGGAACTGTTTCAACAACTTCTTCTCCTTCTTTTGGTTTTTCCCTCTTCAGGGGTCGCCACAGCGAGTCATCCTCCTCCATCTCACTCTGTCCTCTGCATCCTCTGTCCTCACTCCAACTACCTCTCTGTCCTGTCTAACTGCATCCATGTATCTCTTCTTTGTCTTTTTCCTGGCAGCTGCATTTCTAACATCCTTCTACCAATATACCCACTGTCCCTCCTCTGGACATGTCCAAACCATCTCAGTCTGGTCTCTAACTTTATCTCCCAGTTGTTCAACCTGTGCTGTATCTCTGATGAACTCATTCCTAATCTTATCCATCCTTGTCACTCCTATGGAGAACCTCAACATCTCCATTGTTGACACCCTTTTGTCACTAATCACTATGGAAACTTTTCTCCATCCACTCCATCTTTCCTGGACTCTCTTCTTCACCTCTTTACCACATTCCCCATTTTCCTGGACAGTGGACCCCAAGTACTTGAAGTCCTGCACCTTTGTGACCTCTGCTCCTTGTAGCCTCACTGTTCCACTGGCCTCCCTCTCATTCACACACATGTGATCTGTCTTACTACGGCTGACTTTCATTCCTCTTCTTTCAAGTGCTTACATCCACCTCTCCAATTTCTCTTACACCTGTTCCCTGTTCTCACCACAGATTCCAATGTCATCTGCAAGCATCATAGTCCATGGGATTCCTGCCTGACCTCATCTGTTGGTCGGTCCATCACCAGAGCAAACAAAAAGGGGCTCAGAGCCGATCCTTGATGCACTCCCACCTCCACCATGAAGCTATCTGTCACTCCTACAGCACATCTCGCCACTGTCCTGCTGTCCTCACACATGTCCGGTACCAATCGAACATACTTCTCTGCCACTCCAGATTTCCTCATGCAATATCACAACTCCTCCCTCGGCACCCTTCTTATGCTTTTTCTAAATCCACACAATGGAGTTCTTTCTGACCCTCTCTGTACATCTTCATCAGCATTCTCAAAGCAAAGATGGCATCTGTGGTGCTCTTTCTCAGCATGAAACCATCCTGCTGCTCACCGTCACCTCTCGTCTAAGTCTTGCTTCCACAACTCTCTTCCAGATTTTCATTGTGTGGCTCATCAACTAAATTCTCCTGTAGTTGCTACAACTCTGTACATTGAATATTTGAGTCAAAAACCTCACCGCCATCTCTCCAAGACATTTCCAAACCTCCACTGGTATGTCATCATGTCCTACTAACTTCTAGGGGTGTAACGGTACGCTAAAATTACTTTTCGGTTCGGTTCAGTTTCAAGGAGGGCTTGGTTTGGTTAATTTCTGTAAAAAAAAAAAAAAGACAAAATGAAGATTTACAAAACGTTTATTTTGAAAATATGCCAAGTAAACAATACGTTTGTATAAAAATAAATAAAGGCGACCCATTTGGATGATATTTTAAATAAACAGCACTCTTTATAATAAATAAACTGTACAAACAATAATAACAATTTTAATAAATACAATAACAGTCAGAGCCAGAACAATAAGAAGAAACAAACAGTTTACAATCTAACTAATCAAGTTTTAAGTTTTTGGCCAAAAAGACGAACTTGTCCACATTTTCTGACAAAACCACAGATCTCGTTGCAGTGAATATCTCCAGCGGTGGAGAAAACCGCTCACTAACAACAGTAGCAGGAATAAAGAGGTAGAGCTTTGCTAATTTTGCAATGTGGCTGGATTTGGCCTCATTACTCACAACCTCTTCTTGGACCTGCTCCCACAGGTGGGACAGGTCACGGGAAAAGTTCAGAGTTCATTCATCACAGACACATTGCTGGAGGTGACCTCTGGTGGATTTCTCTGAAGAGGGAGAAGACTCAGCTGCTCTCTCTGTCCCAGACTGGAAATAAAACACAAAGAGTTAAAAAAAAAGAAAAAAAAAAAGAGTTAATAAGATTATAATAAAAAAAAAAAAAAAAAAAAAAAGTTAATTAGATAATAATAATAAAATAACAATACCTCTTTTGCCAACTCCTCCTTTAGGACCACCCCTACTCCATTTCTCTTTCTAGCCACACCATGGTAAAACAGTTTGAACCCTGCTCCAATGCTGCGAGCCTTGCTGCCCTTCCACTTGGTCTCTTGGATAAATTAAACATCTACCTTCCTTCTCTGCATCATGTCAGCCAGCTCTCTACCTTTGCCTGTCATTGTCCACATATTTAGAGTTGCAACCCTCAGTCCTACACTCTTCACTTTCCTCTTCTCCTCTGTCTTCAGACACGTTTCCCTCCTCGTGGTCTTCGACTAACACTAGCACAATTTCCACCGGCACCCTGTTTGTCAACAGCACCGGTGGCGGTCGTTGTTTACCCGGGCCTCGACCGACCCGGTATGGTTTTGCTCTGATGAGTCTAATGAACAAAGTACTTTTCTTCTGGCTTAAATTAGGATTTTCTTCATTTTTAATGTTGGCCCATTTAACATTTTGACTTCTTTTTCAGCATCAGATTTCACCTGGATTTATGTCGTATTCCCAGTGATCTTCATCATCATAGTATCTGTTTGTGCGTTCATACTTTATAAAAGAAACAAAGACAGGTATTGTTTAATGTCATTGAAGTTTATGTTTCATTGTGACTTCAAAATCTTGGTGTTAATGATTTTCTGACCTTAAGGGGTGAAACGGATCTTACATAATAAACATTTAAACGCTTCTCTTCCAATCAGTGACCATGAAAATATCAAAACTCCTCAAAAACCAATTCAAGATGAAACTGAGTAAGAACTTTCTGTATTTTGTGTCTATTTTTGCTACTTTTAAGATGTTTGAATCTGTCCCTGTTTGTCCATTTCTTGCTTCCTAACAACCTTTTAGTCTTTTAATTTCCATTATGATCTTTGAACACAGACCAGTTTCCTCTGCAGTTCTTTTTATCATCCTACAGAGCGATGTAGCCGTTGAACATAATACAGGGTACGTTTGTGGCACGGATTTAATATTTGATGTTTTTATTTAAAGGATCAAAACAGCCTTGGTCCACCAGGAGAACGAGAGCGTCAGACTTAGGTCATCTACCAAGAAACTTCCAGAGAACAAGAGACCAACATCATCACATTTCTTCAGAAAACAACTGTTTGGAGAAGTCTGAAATGAGTGATGAAGCTCATCAGAAGAAAAGAACAACATCCATCCATCCATTATCTTTTACCTGCTTCTTCCATTTTAGGTCACGGTGGTCGCCGGTGCCCATGTCCGGCAATCACTGTGCGAGGGGCGGGGTACACCCTGGATGGGTTGCAAGTCCATCACAGGGCCACATAGAGACAAACGAGACAAACAACCATTCACTCTCCAACTCACACCTAGGGACAATTCAGAGCTACCAATCAGTCTAACATGCATGTTTTTGGTCTGTGGGAGGAAACCGGAGTACCCGGAGAAAACCCAACGCATGCACGGAGAGAACATGCAAACTCCACCCAGAAAGGCCTCCGGACCGGGATTTGAACCAGGGACCTGCTTGCTGAGAGGCAGCAGCTCTACCAATTGTGCTACCATGCTGCCGAAAAGAACAACATGAAATACTCAAAAATGTGGCGGGAAAAATACAATTGTATTTAAAACCACCTGTCATGTGGTTGTTTATCCTATTTTTGGAGGGAACAAATGGAGGAAATTATGTACATGTAATAAAATGTATGCAATACATAACAAGAAAGGAAAAATCAATATAAAAAGGGAAAATGGATTCAATTTAATAAAAACCCTCTTTACAAAATATGTAACCCACCACTTGTACCTGTCAAAACCTTTGTCTAAATTGTGTATCAAAGACCATTTACAGTTTCAGTCTCAGAATGATCAGGAATATTGGAGTTATGAGTTGGCCTCTTTTTGTTTTGTTGAAATTAATGTTTTTTTTTTTTGTTTGTTTCTTTGTTTGAATTTTTCTTTTGACTTGACGCAAGTAGAAAAGACATTCACCGCCTGCTGACAAATGCCACATCAATACAGCTTTAGCAAACTCAAAACTGGCTTTAACTGTTGATTTCACTGATATCAAGCTAAATATTTGTGTGGTAGTCAAAGAGCCAAAGCACCTTTACCCAGAAACACTTTATGAAGAGAGCCAAAGGTTCGAGTTGCTAAGCGATAGACAAGAAATTCAAGGGATTTGGAGAGTTCATGATGCAGGTGGCCCTCTTCCCAGACATCTACACCTCCAGATGCAGGAAGAGGGCCACCTGCATCATGAAGGACCCCACTCACCCAGCACGCACAATTTTTGCCCTGCTTCTTTCAGGCAGAAGGTTGAAGAGCATTAAGTGCAGAACCACTAGGCTGAGGAACAGCTTCTACCCTGAAGCTGTTAGACTCATGAATATCTAGATCGGATTATCACTGTGAAAAAAAAAATATCACTGTAATGCCACTTGATTGTTGATATGTGCTGCTGCTGATCTCATGCTGCTGATTTATTTCATGTTGCTGTGTTCATTCGTCGTCAACTCACACAGACTCATGTTCGTGCTGCTGTTTGGCACATTGTTTTGTACTATTAGTGCTTAGTATATTCTTAGTTTCACGTATTTCTTAGTTCATGCCTTAGATCTTATTACTGTGTTTCTTTACAGTTTGTATTTTTGTTGGATGTAACTGGGACCCTGTGTACATAGTTTCGTCCCACCATTTGTACCACATGTGGTGTGAATGACAGTAAAGACACCTTGACCTTGAGTTTTTGTGAAGAGGAATCGGCCAAAGTCCCTCCTGAGATGTGTGCAAGCTTGAAGACCGACTATCAGAAACATACAGGAAGAGTTAATTTATTTTACTTAATAGCATAGGTTTTAATTTCGCAACTCTTATATAAAGTGCTATTCTGTATTTTTCGTTTGTCGCTTGAATAAAATGAATCTTCCACGATGATTAGATACCAGTCATTTCTGTGTAAATGAGCAAATTTATAGTCAGCAAGGGAAGAAATCATTTCCTCCCCATGAAACGGCTTC